AAAGTGATAGCAAAGCCAGGTCTGTAAAAAAGCTGTACATCTTCCTAGCTAAACGCACAGGCAGGTTTATTAGCGTGCACCGTGCACTCACAACGGGAAAATTAGGGAGGCCATAAGGGAGGGTGGCCAGAGAGTCTCTGCTCCAGCTACTGAAATTGCAAAGAGAGGTGAGGAGAGGGCAGACACAGGGTGGGGGGTACTGCTACTACATGAAACTCCATGTCCATCTTCATTGTCATCACTGAGATCAGAAGTGAACTCTAAGTGAATCTCTAATGGTCCCATTCAACTTTCACAAATCTGCATCAATGATATTATTGATTTCAGTAAGGCTATTCCTACTTTACACTCCTGAGACAACCAACCACGCAACGGGCCTGTGAATCCCCGTTTGCCTCGTGGCCTGCAGGCACTTTCTTCACACAACTCTCTGTGGCAGCAGCAGAGAAAAAGAAGACATTAATTAACAAGTGCTTTGATACAGGTTCGGTCAGGAGGATTTTCCACTGCTCTCCTGTCAATCTAACGTTACATTTTAAAGCTACTTAAAGGAAAGCAAAACATTCAGGAGTATCTTGGGAACATCTGACATGGACTAATAGCTCAATTGCATGAGTGACTACTGAGGGTTTATTATTATTATTATTATTATTATTACCACTTTAAAGCTACAAGCAACTGTGTTATGTTTGCTAGCTTTCTTCAGTCAACGCCTCTGTATTATGCCAGTATCAAGCCCATTCATCAAAGCACAATTTCAAGTGACTCCTGACCTTCAAAATGAAGGGTTTGCTTCTGCTTTCATTTCAGTTACATTCGCTACACTGTCTCTGTATTGCTAGAATCTCACTTCATTCATCATCTGCACAGGAGAGCAAAGCTCACTAACTTCTTATGTGGTATTTAGAATTCAACATCTTTACAGTTGGATGCTTTACCAGAACATTTCTCGTCTTTCTCTAAATACACTATTATTCAGCATCTAGTTAAAAAAAAAAAAAAAAAAAAGCCAAACACAAACAAAACCACAACCCACAAAACCCCCACACTCCTCAGCTTTCAAAATCTCTAAATCAACTGGAAGAGGAAAGGCACAAATCAGACACATCCATTACTTCTAAGCAGTCAGACATACACTTTCATTCAGAAACTCTGAGGCAAGGACACACTCCACCTTTAACTTCGGTGTTTTATTTTCATGGCTTCCCCTAAGATGCTGTAATTTATTGAAATCAGGGTTGAAGTTAAAGAAGCAATGCAAACAGCTATGTGCTGTGACTTTTCTCTTTGGTATGGACTTTCAAGCGACAGATTCTCCTGCAGCAAAACATTTCCTGCCAAGTCCTTAGGAGCTCCACTCAGTGTTCATGAGTGCTGGGGCACGGCAGCATGAGTCTGACAGTTCAACACTTCTTCACGTGCAGGACACTCCACAGCAGCTTTACGAGAGCTTTATGATTTTACAAGGATAGCCCAGCGCACACCACAGGCTATTGCTTCCCACCCTGCATATGACTGATGCATAGAACCAGACCCACAGCAGTGTATTTATGCATACTTCAATTTTCATTCCTTCCCCCATTCCCAAAGTTCCTCTTACTAAAGACTGACTTCAACAACTTATGTTGGAAGCCAGCTTTATAGGCTGTACTCCAGTGTACATCAAGTGTAGGTCACAGCATCAGGATTTGGTGATCAGACAAGACACGAGGCACAGCAGCTTGGTTATAAATAAGTACTATACGATTACATTGAGCAATTTAGCATTGTTGTAAAAGCATAGCAGACAGCCGTGATCACATTATTACAAACTTCAACACATCTCACATGCAGCAAAAAAAAAAAAACAACTGTAGGAAAACCTTGCCTTCCAGTGCAAAACCAGACAGATTTTTAAAACTGTAGTTTCTACTTCTCCATCCAAAAGTGAGTGCCACTAGAAATAATTTGACAGAAGTTATCTAGCAATTCTGACTTAACACCTCCATTCAGCAGAGGGGTACCTCTGTTTCCATAGCTTCTCTAATGTAAACAGATTCTTCAGCTCTTTGCATCAGTACGTCCACACTTTGCATCAGTGCATACATACTACCTCTTCAGTTTATCAGGTTTCAACATTCCTAGCTAGAAAGCATCTTCTAAACAACTGACAAATGAAAACATACAACTACTGTTAAGTCAAAACACATAAACTATACTGCATATTACTCTTTTTCATCATATTATCAAGCCATTGCTGCAAAATCTTCCAAAAATACCATGTTTGTTCAGAAATATGTATGTAATTAAAGTTCTTTGAACTCCTTAAACATGAGGCATTTGAAAGACTGCACTCCTGTCATAACAGTAACAAATTGCTTCCTTAACCAACTCAGTATGGTGGAAAAAGACAGAATGAAAAACAAAAAAAAAACAAACCCAACTACTCTGAAACCTGCACGTCGCTTTCTTTAATTAAACTCCCAACATTGCACCGGGTTGCAAATATGCAGGTTTCACATTAACAAGAGCACATGCTGCATGAACAGTTACTACACGGCCTCTCGGCGCCACCCGAGCAGAACACAGCCCAAAACGCACCTTAAAGCAATCCCAGTCTTCCAATAACTGAGCAGCTCGAACAGCTACACACAGAACTGCTCGAGTTTTGATACATCAACCAGCAACAAGGCAGATAACCCATAAAGTAACAAGCAACTGGCAATCGGAAGCTCAGGAAAAAAAACTCATCTCTGCAGTAATCATGCACTTCTCAAGCATAAAAGTAGATTTCACTTGTGAAGCCTGGCAGGAAACTGAAGAGTGACTTTGGATTTAGCTACTATTGAACATTTAGCTATCACAAGCCTTTTTGGACTGATTGATATTAGCAGAAAGTTGCAAATGCTGGGATTCCTTAAAAAATGCATGGCAACTTTGCAATGTACATTAAAAAAAAAAAAAGGAACTAAGACAATAAAACTTCCCTGTGAGCTGAAAGCAACAAGTGTTTATTCAAAGTTACTAGAAGTCTGAAATTCACTGAAAATTACTTTCCTTTTTTTTTTTTGAACTGGGACAGGGCATATCCTACCACCCTGTCTCAAAGCAGAGGGAGTAACAGTATGTGATGGGAAAGCATGACTGCATATTCAAAGGATCTGTGGCTCACAGGAGAGATTTCATGATTTAATATAACCGATGAGCAACCTGAAGAGAAATATTTAAAAAAGAGCACAGAAAGACCGGAGAATCGGTGAGTTTGAGGGATGACAGTGCCTGTGGAGCAGTTACATGCACAGGCCCTTTATTCTCCTGCCTTACCCTAAAGCACGTCAGTGGGTCAGACCTATGTTGTCCAAAGGAAGCAACGTGGCCATGCAGAAGCCTGGTCTGTTCTGCATTGGTAACGTGGAACAACCTTCCCTGTATTTTCACGAATTACATCCTCGCTGTCCTGAGATTTTCCACATTTATCATTCCTCCTGTAAGGTGCTAAATACTGCACAGCGAATAACCGTGGCTTTATTTCACCTCAAGGAAGATAAATCCACCGCTCCCAACTTTAAAAAGGAAGCAAGCAAACCGAGGGGCATCTAATTCACTCTCCAAACACCAGAACCTAACAGCAAAGTGCCAGTGGCAAAGCAGAAACCTTCCCGAGGGCTCGAGCAGTCCAATCTCAGCAGCCCAAACTCATGCCTTTCCGTATCATTTCTCTCTTCTCGCCGTTGCTCTCTCATTGCTAAAGGATTATCTGCCCGGGACGTTATTTTTATTCATTCAGTCCCAGAGACGCGATATGGATAAGGGTGTGAGGAAAAGCAGGAAAATGAAATCACAAGAAAAAAAACCAACCCCGACACCTTGGCGGGCAGATTGAGAAATAACCTGTTGTAGGCACGTTTCAGCAGGAGGAAGAGCTCACCAACGGGCTGCCCGGTGTCTGGGGCTGCGGAGGGGGTGGGGGGGTAT